TTTGAAATTTATTGAGGGACGGCTGAACGTAAAAAGTATAAATATTATTTTTTTGATGAAGTAATTGACTTTTTCTAGTCAAAACTGGTTTTTGAATTAACATAAATATTATTTTTGACTTAATCTCTTTTCAGTCTCAGTCAAAGCTAAATGAGTAAAAACTAGATAATTAGAGAACAACAATTGATTAGAATTAATTAATTCACTATCACTAATATTGACATAAGGCAAATTACGAAAAGAACGTGTTATCCCTTGTTTATTTTCCTCATTATTAGCCAGAATTAGAAGAATTTTGACTCTACTAATCTCCTTGATTGGCAAAACTTTAAAAAATTTTTCGGCTTCTTTAGTTTTGTAATTATCTAATTTCACTTTATCTACGACAACTATCTCTTTGTTGCGCATTTTTTTCACTCAAAAGCGACTGAAAAATTTTTTCCTTCAATTTTGTGTTAAGTTTTAGTAAATAACTTTCTTTTCCGGTAGGGCCGAAAGCTACTCCGCCACCCCGAAACTGAGGGGCGTAACGATGACCGTGACGAGCTCCACCAGTTCCCTTTTGCCGATAAATTTTACGGGTACTTCCGGTAATCTCTCCTCTACTTTTCACTTTGCTAGTTACTTGCCGTTGATTAAACAAATAATGACGATTATAAAGAGAAATATTATGGCAAGAAAGAGGAACTTGCCACATCTCAGAATTAAGTTGAAAATTACTTACCACCTCCCCTTTCTGATTAATGATATCTATCTGTTCCATATAATATTAATTTATTTTTAAATTTTCTTAACTCTTCTCTCTGCTTTCCCTTTCATTCACAACACTACACTTACTACTACTATTCCTAAACAACTAGCAATTGCAATCGGCCAGAAATATTTTTCTAAGAAAGATTGTTCAATATTCTCTTCTTCTTCTCAATCTAATAATTTGTCAAGTAAAACATCCATCGCCTGTTGTTTTTTCTCGCAAGCTATTTCTCGGTAATTATTTTTTTTAGCAAATTCATAGATCTCATCAATCAAAACTTCTCGTTCCTCTTTAGTTAAATTCCCTTGTTTAATTCTAGTCTCGACTTTTTCAAAAAGTTCAGTTAATTCATTATCAGCTCCCTTTTGACAAATAGCCTCCTCTGCTTTATCAAGGTTTTCTTGAGAAGGATTTATTTTGGCAGCAGCTATGGCTTGTTTAGTCTCCTCGTCGATATTGCTATCATTTAGTCTATTATTTTCAAGTTGTTGGTCTAAAATTAACTCAACTACTTCTTTATATTTTTCCGGATTTAACTTTTGGAGCTGCTTTTCTATATCTTGAACTTTTGTCTTTTCCTCTTGGTAAACATCTGAAGACCGAAGTTTTTTAATTTTCTGGAGAATATTGAATAAATTTTGGTAGTTACTTCAATTCTCTTGCTCATGAGCTTGGCGAAAGAATTCACTAAAATGTTCCTCTTCTAAACCTTTATTCCTTTTGTTCCTAATTTCAGCAAGAATTTTACTTTTAATTTGGGTAATTTCAACGATACTCTGAACTTCGTTAATTTCATTTTCTCAATCGGAACTAACCAATTCTTCACTTTCAATCGGTGGACTTTTAGTTAATTCCTCTCGAATTTTTTGGATAGCCTCTTTACGAACTTGATCTAACTCACTCCCTTGCTTCTTCTTTTTTTTTTGCTGGCGAATTTTCTTAACAACGCTCAATATTTCTTCTCTCCGACTAGCCAATTGATTAAGATCAACCGAACCTAGCAGATAATTTCGCCAACTAACCAAATCAAAATCAATTTCTTCTTCATTGATTTTAGGACTTTTGTTCAATTCGAAATCTATTTCATTAATAGTTTTTTGGATTTGAGACTGGAGAACATCATTATTTTCATCATCTTCATTACCTCGCCTAGTCTGGATTAAATTTTGGACTTGGAGAACTACACCTTTAAACTGGTCCTCTGATAAACCTTTTAAAATAATTCCTTTAAACTTATCTCTTTCGTCCTCTGATAAGAACTCACCTCATCCAGGCAAAGCCGATAATTTTTGTAAATATTTTTGCCTTAACTGCTGCAGGCTAGGCTTTTTAGACTTACTTTTTTGTTCCTTTTCTCAACTTTCAACACAAATCCTAGAGTGGAAAAACAACCCTTTTCCTCCTTCCAAATGTGATATGAATTTACTACCACCATTTCTTTTTCCTCAACACTTACTTTTTTTACAATAAGCACACAAAGGAATATCATCAAAACACTTTCGGCAATATTCTTGATTGGTACCTTTTTTTATTGCAACAATTTCTTTTTTTACTTTACAAGAAAAACACTTAGAAATTTTCTTTTTCTGGGAACTCTTTTGACAAGTTCGACAGGTATTTCCAATTGATTCTGGTATCCATCGCGAACAAGATGAACAATCATGAAAGGGTCTGTGGGAAGAGACACCTTTTGAATAACAAGCATCAGAACAAGCAACATAATCAGTTCCTACAAAAACTCGGGTTTTATCATCTTTTCCGATGAGTTTTTCGCAAATCGAACAATACTCTTCTTCTTCAACATTTAAATCATCATCTTCTCCCTTACCCTGAGTAGTTTGAAAATTTTTAGGCACATCGCTTTCATAACTCCCATTCTTGAGGTAAGTACCACACATGTTAATTCTCTTTAATTCATTGTCTCTAATTTGGAATTCTTTGTCATTATTAATTTCCCCTTTTTCTCCAGAGACACGAGGGTGTAAATTTAGATTAATCCAATGCTCGCTCTTTCCTGCTGCCCGAAGTCTTCTTTTAACCTTTTCTTCAATATCGACAACAATCCTTTTAGAATACAGTCAACTTAGATCAAGATAAAGACCCCGAAGAGAATCATTATCATCACCAATTCTCATTTCTTTATTTCTCGCTTTCTTAAACTCATCATTCCACACCACGCGAAAGGATTTTAAAAATTTTCTAACTGCCTCCTTATTATTTAGTAAAGTATCTAATTTTATATTCCTTGTGTTATTTATATTCACCATAATTATCTGTAATTTAAAAACTCAATTTGGCTTTGGTATCCTTATGTTTTATATAGTTCTTGCCTATATTATAGTTTTACAAAATGTTATAAACTTTGGCGGAGTGAGAGAGATTCGAACTCTCGAGTTGAAACCAACTACTTCTTTAGCAGGGAAGCGCCTTCGACCACTCGGCCATCACTCCTCTTTACCTATTAATAATTTTTAGCCTTTCAATATCTTATTAAACTTGACTAATTGATCGACTAAAAAAATAAATCGCCATGATAGGGTCATCAAATTTCAAATTTATTTTTTATATTATATTCTTTTTAATTTTTCATCATAATTTTAATTTGCTTCTAAACTCTCTATTTTTCTCTTAATTCTTTGTATTTCTCTCTTTTTGTTTCTTCATCAATCCCGCGAAAGCACCTTAATAATCTTTCAACCATTCTTTTCTAAAAGCATTTGACGATAACTATTAATCTCAATTTGCCCTTTTTTGCCATAATGGCTTCACTCATCACATTTTATTCCCAATATATATTGTTGTCTATTTCTCGAACTACAAACAGTTAGATCAACTCAGCGACTAATAGAACCCCTCTGAAATTCAACCTCATAACCTAATTTGACTAACTCGTCATACACCGCTTTCTCTAAAGGTAAATTAATAGAGTATTTTTTTTTGCTTTCTTGGAGATTAAAGCCACCTAATTTCACTATTTCATTATTCAATCTTTCGATTTCATTATCATTTCTTTCTTGGCAAGCCCAAGCATATTCTAAATATAGTTTGAGGAATTTCGAACCTAAGTGTTTAGCATTACTGATATTTAACTGCGAAGGCAAAATGCTGGTTACCACTATCACTTTTTCTCGGGCCCGCGTAATCGCTACATTTAACCTTTTCTCTCCTCCCTCTCGATTAAGTGGACCAAAATTGTGGATAAACTTTCCTTCTTCATTAGGACCATAGCCAATCGAGAATATAATAATGTCTCGTTCATCTCCTTGAACTTCCTCTAAGTTTCTCACAGACAAATTGCTGCCAATCACCTCTTTTTTTTTCTCGATCATATCTTCTAATAAATTCCTTTGTTTGGTATTAAAAGTAATTATTCCAATCTCTT